TTTTCTTTTTCCGTGTTTGTCTTAAATGTATGCACCAAGACTGTCAAGACGAATTCCTAGGACATGTAGGTGAGCCGATAAAATTAATTCTCACATTCTGAGATTCATTTGCTAATGGGCAGCCCTCTCCGTAAAAGCTCTCTTCACTTGCTACAGTCCAGCTGCGTCGTGCTCCCGGTCCCAACCGTTCCGACATGCCGTTTCTGTGGCACCAACCTATTCCCACCTTTGCTAAGGCTGCAGAACACGGATACAGTTCCCCGATTTCCCGGTTCCGAAATCCAAACAGGCTGACTAGCTGGCCAGCATCAGAGTGGCACGGGGATCGCGGTAAACCCCACAACAGGAATCCGGCACCGGCATTCCGGAGGGAGCGGTTCCAGATCCCGCTGGGACTCGCCGGCGTTTCTCCAGGCGGCCCCACAAACGAGCGGGAATGGAGCCTCGCCTGACCGCTTCTTGGCAAAGCCAGTCCAGCGGACCGTGGCGCCCCTAGACCCGCTGCCGTTCCGGGGACTGTCAGGGGCTGAACGGGGATGTGTGTGATGCACTCACATGCATGCAGGCACACGCGCACAAAATGGAAAAAGTCTGCAGCACACAGTTCAGATGAAGCTTTATTTACCTTAAATATTCATGAGGTGCAAGCGAGCTGGCCCAGCGGCTGGGAGGGCGGAGACACATACCCTGTGTGCTATAAGAAGTGTACCTCTGTGCCATGCAGCCATGCACGTGCCCCTCCCAGGCGGAGGCCTGGTACCAGCCGGGCCCCGCAGCTGGCCGAAGATCAAGTCCGCGGGCAGCCGGGACGGTTGCCGGGAAAGGGGGCGGGGGGGCGGGGAGCCTGGTCCTCGGCGGCGATGCAATACCGAGGGCTCTAATTAAGCGCCTGCACTCAGCCAACCGGTTTCCAGCTGCTATGTAAACACGCTGCGTCCTCATCGGCGAGCACCGAGGCCGGAGAGCCAATCAGGAGGCAGCATCTGGTCCCAGCATATCGGGGAGAGGGCCCTCGCTGGGGCCCGTGCAGGGGGAGGGGAGACGGGGGGGGGGCCGCGGTCCACACACGTATCCGATTACGTCGATTGCGTAAGATGCTGTGCCGACGGGAATAACGGAAATAGAGCGTGCGGCAGAAAATCGGGAACAGACATCCCTCAGAACAGAGTGCAGAAGGATGATTTCGGGATATAAAGTGATACAAGACAGAAAACATGTATATATAAATACAGCATGAGCATCGAGCGCCGGCCAGAAACAGCACCATCCGCCCCCCCCATGACTTTCTCGACATCCTGTTTATCAGAGTGCCACCGGCACCACATACAGACCGGTAACCCAGTTCTGTGATGAGTCAGCGTGGCGCCCCACCGACCCTGGACTTTCCTGCACCCTTTGTGAGCAGCCGTGCGAGGGGCATGCACACTGGTGATAGCAATGTGCTCTCGCTGAAACCCCCCCCTGCCGATGCGTTTGGTGTCGCCGGCGTCCCAGGGGGGCATTTTTTGGCAGGAGAGATGCTGGTGTTTCTGGCACCACTCCCCCCCCCAGTCCGGTCCCACACCACCCACACCCCCCCGGCCTCATGCCCCATCACTACTCGACAGCTACGAATATGGATGTTCTCCTGGTCTGTTTTACTCAGAGTGGGTGGAGGCGACAGCCGGCCATGTGAAGTCCAGCGCCAGTGAGCGACGGCCTGCCGTGTGAAGTCCAGCGCCAGTGAGCGACGGCCTGCCGTGTGAAGCCCAGCGCCAGTGAGCGACGGCCTGCCGTGTGAAGCCCAGTGCCAGTGAGCGACGGCCTGCCGTGTGAAGCCCAGTGCCAGTGAGCGACGGCCTGCCGTGTGAAGCCCAGTGCCAGTGAGCGACGGCCTGCCGTGTGAAGCCCAGCGCCAGTGAGCGACGGCCTGCCGTGTGAAGCCCAGTGCCAGTGAGTGACGGAGGCAGCCATGCCGCACGCAAATCGCTGCGTTACGTAACTGTTCTCTCGACAAATCCCGAAGCCTGATGTTCACACAAAGGAGAGGCAACGGCCAAGGTACAGTCCAGGGGTTCTGTGCTCTTAATTGTGACGTCTTCACCGGGGCCGTGCCAGCTGATGGTGTCCAGCTGGTCTCACTGGCATTTCAGTCATGGGGGGGTGGGGGGGGGACCGCCTCGTGCCCCATGTTGTCCCGGTGCAGGTTCTCAAACTAAGATGAAGCCTGATAAGTCTAGAAGTTCAGGAGAAACACCTTGGGTCCTAATTCTGCATTTAACCCATATGTTATGTTGTGACACAGCAGGGGGCAGCTAATTCAGCACCCGGAGAGCAGTGCTTGGGGGCGGTACCTTGCTCAGGGTACCTCAGTGGTGCCTTGCTGGTCGAGGATTCCAACCAGCAATCTTTCAATCACTGGTACACTTCCCTAACCATTAGGCCACCCACTGCCTAGCGATGCTCCCATGACCTTAGAGGGGAGGCAGGCCGCTCAGAATTCTGGGGGAGAAGACGGGATTGGCGAAGCGGACGGCACCCTCACAGGACGAGCTTCCTGCGGCTAACCGTCAGCTATCGGCACCGATGACAAACGAGCAGTACGGACATACTAAAATCAACATTTTGACCTCTTGCTCCCAAAATTAACAAATAAAAAAGTGACGCTTAACGACAGTTAGGCTTTTTAGGTTCTTGCTTTGTCAGAAGGTGCAGTGTAGCTACTGCTCCAATCCTGCTCACACTGGCCGTTCACTGGAAGCTCAGTCTAGCTGCACTGACTGACAGCATGTATGCTTGTAATATGCTATTTGCCTCACTGTGGACAAAAGCGTTTGATAAATAAGTTAATGGTTAATGTAGACACACTTGTTTTGTGCCTACGTATGGAATATCACAGAGATGAGTACTCCTACACGTAGCTGTGGGCCTTAAACACCCACCTCACATCCAGGACCTTAAACCTACAGTCCCTTCAGCACCTTCAAAGCGGCTAACCGTCAGCTGGATCTCATGATTGCCCTTCCTCACTGCTCTTAAGAAACAAAAGTTGTCAATCTGTCAGATGCATGTTGTGCAGCTCAGAATGTCCCTGGTGTTTTCAGCCACACCCCCTAGGCTCATTATAAATAGACTAAAAGGTGAACGTGGTCAAATTAAGGTTTTAATATCCTATAATCAAAAGCGAAACCTGCATTTAGCCGTCTACAGAAACATTGCCCAGAATGCAACCTGCTAACAAGCCCCAATCAAACTCCTCTCATTAGCGTTTCTACTGCAACACGACAGGCCTGATAGACGACTCTCAATAAACATTCAGCGTCCCTCGCTGAGCACCCGGATGGGCCACATAGGGGTGATTCTAGGAATTCTAGGCATGAGAGGGGCCATAATTCACAGAACAGGGTCAACCTTATCATTAGCCAATGATATGTTTTGATTCAGTGACTGATGGGGGAGGGGACGTTCTGGGAGCCAATCAGCTTTCAGCTAGGGCCAGTGCCCCTGTGGTCCCACCCCTGTGTATGTACACCCCTGGGGTCAGCAGAGCCCCTTTGAGGGACATTTATTAGGTTTCAGCAACGTAATAGTGCCAGGTGGCATTCAACCTGTAACAGGCCTTTCAGTATTTCCAACTGCGCTACAGTAAAGATTAGCTTATGCTAATGACATTCAGTGTGGGGTCCAAATTGACCACCCAGCTGCTCCCAGAAGAACATACCTCAGTCCTTGGAGAACCAAAAGCTGAATGATGAATCATGTTCACACATCCAAGCTATACACCAAACCCTAACGTGGTGGGAACTGTGCCGTATCCTCACCGATCCAAATCCGAATCTCTCCACATCGAATTCAAGGGCAATGTAGTGAGGAGGTTTCTCTGGAGACCAGAGCCAGGTGAGCAGATAAATCCTCAAAATAATAATAACAGGGTTTGCTGTAGTAATTAAAAAGTCATCTGGAGAACGCCCCACTCATTTTCACTAACCCCCCCTTGCCCAAGGTGGTACAGCTCACCACGAGCATTACTCATCATGTGTAAGGGGAGATGTTGCAAGAACATTATGTGTCCCATCATCTCACTTCACGCCCCCCCCCCCCCACAGAGAATATTAACCAATTTGACTTCAGCCTGTTGAGTGAGGAAAAACAATGCCGGCCCAGCCAAGACTGTTCCACTAGAGCTTGTAAAAGGGGGAGGGCGGAAAAGTTGAGCATGACCTCACTGTCTCTGTCAGAAGGGGGCAATTAGCATTACTCAACACGTCTTTTCACCAAAGTGAGTCCCAATGTCCGAGCCACGGCAGTATAACTCAGAAACTTCTATGTATATAGCGGACAATGATAAATAGCAGAACTGAGAAGTCAGGGAAGGGACTTGGAGCTGACCCAGGAGACGGGGCCGCTGGGCAGCGGGGACCCGACACATATCTGGGGACTGGAATTTAAGCTGTCAGCACTTCCTTGGTGCTGCTCCCAGAGGACCTCGTGCTCTTAAAAGTGATGGAATGGCAGCTGGGTACATGGAGTGGGCGTTGGGTCAACTTCCAGAATGGAAAGATCATTTCTGACTGCCCCCACCAGCACCCACCAACAAGTAGCCATTGTTCCAGAGATCGTAGTCATCCCCCATGGCAAAGCTGTTGCCCTCCCCCTAGAAGAGGGCGAAGGTGATGCAGCTCACAAGTGGAGGATCTGCTCACCAGGACTGCAACCCAAAAGCTTCACTAACTTTCTAGAGTTACAGCCTGCTTTTAGCATCGCCAGAAAATGCTCAAATGTGAGTTACTCATTACCTTCTCCAAATGATGCCGTCAAGATATGCTTGAGGACTTAACAAACAAAAACCACTTCCAGCACTTTTCAAATCGAATGTTTGTCAATCTACATACCAGCCGCTATAAGGAGGATTGCTTTTTAATCATTAACACCTCTGGGTTACAACGACTCCAAAAATTCCAGAGGTGCTAAGGAAATCACAACAAGGACTTTTTCAGAACGCCAAGTGGTCCAAGTCTTACCTGCAGTGGTCAAGGGGCAAAGGGTCTGGAGAAGGAACAGGAAGGGAAGGTAGATGGCCATTCTGGTGAGGCTATGGTTGTCTCAAGGTGCAAGAATGAAGAAAGAACCTCTCGTGGTCACTCTCAGATCCCCGTCTGTGGAGGAACAGAAAGTACATCACTACCTAAGACAAACATCAAGTCAACCTCATACACAAAAGGCACCACAACTGACGCACTGAGTCTGGAGATAAATGAGTCCACAGTCCAGTCATGTGACCTCTGTGGTGGTCAGTGGTCTTCTGGGGGAGTCTGTGATGTCCGGAACAATGAACAATTAGTCCATCCTACTCAACTGAGCTTTTGAATGTCATTCTATTCTGTTAAGTTATTTAACAGTTAACAAATTACTCAGGGTTCTGTGGTAACCTTTAGGGCCATAACCTTAGGGCTGACAAAGCCTTAGAGCTGAGAGACACTGTAAACTTACCCACTGTCACCCAAGACATCCCATCCTGCTCTTTTCACCACTAAAATTCATTTGTGGTCCTGGCAGGTCACCGATGTCAAATTAAAGATATAACATTTTGAATTTACAGCACAGGGCCCAGCCCTTGTTCTGAGCCAGAAAAACTGCTAGCTTTGATGAGTCACCAAATTCTTTCAATATTACTCTGGGACTCAAGTAAAACATACAGAATAACCAGCACAGTATCTAATTACCGATCGATTAATCACCGCTTAATTCTGACTGAATATCAACAACCGAGCAACGACACATCAACAGCACATCAACAACATATCCCCAGCGGCCTATAGAGAATGTCCTTCCCATGTGAAGCGTCTTAAATTTGGTTTGTCAAGAGCACACCGTGCACAAGAGACAGCTAGAGCAACCTTAATAAGAAGCAGAATGGCGAGTCCCACAGCGAGGGCGAGGCGGACACGGACCAACCATGAACACGATTCCCATCGGCCGAATCAAGAACACAAGAATTCCCATGATTCAGCCCCTACTTAAACCAGTTTGTGACTGAGCCAACCCCAGACAGACTTTTAGGCAAGGAGAACCCACTCGTTCCTGAACTCAGAGTTAAATTTAGCAAGCGTTAATCTGCCGATGATCCAAGATGGCCCCTGAAAAGAAAGGGGATAAACCTTGTCATTCTTGTCGTTCTGGGGTGAGCGTGACCTCTGGCCCTTCCAGCTCAGATGGGCTGGTCACCTCTTGCGGACTGCTGGCGAGATTATCGCCGAAACGCTCATTGTGAAAGCACCGGCTTAGCTAATGACACCATGCTCAGCTCCCCCCCGCACCCAAGAAAGATGCTGCTTCACTTCAGTCGCAGGTGTGATGGGTCCCATTTGAGCCCCGTGTTACTGCAGCATGTTAGCAGCCATCCTCGAGCGGCACAGCTTTCAAGAGAAGGAATTAGAGAAGGGTGTGAAGATGAAGACTCAGCCGAGGAGGTCGGGGCACAGAGGCCTAGAGGCAAGACAATAAACAATGAGCAGAGCGCGCGGGAAAGCGTCCAAATTACGCAAAAGCGCGGCGCTAAAACCCCCATCATCACGGTCAAAGCCGCGTCCAATGAGCAGGGCGGCCGGGGAACAGCAGTGATGTCAGCGCAGGCTAAAGCGCAGCACTAAGCAGCAGGAGTGCCGCTGGGGGGGGGGGGGGGCGTGGCCACTGCGGACAAAGGGCCTTTTACGCACTGACAGCTGCAGGAGATAAACGGAGGTTTTGGAATATCTTGACAAATATTGCACTTCCAAACACAGAGGGTGGGGGGGTGATTCATCGTCCACGGGGGTTAGCCGTGGGGGATTCAAACTGCAGAGCAAGGGAATTTCTGGGCTAAAACATGGAGGGGCATCCCTATTGCCCCCTTCTTCAGACTGAAATTAAAAAACCTCAACAAGTGGCCCACACCCCCGACTCCAACAGAGGCCCTCTGGATATATAAAAGAACCCAGGGGCTTGGTGTCATGGGGGGGGCTCCATTACAAATCTCACAGGGAACAGGGGGTGGAGAGACCCACACTAAAACGGACCTATGAACTGTCTTAAAGGGGTTCAGAGCCCCAGTCAGGCTGTGCAGAGCAAACGTCCTCCGCTCAAATAATTCTACTCAAAGCATCCCCACGCTGGCCTGATCCCCCCCAACGTCAGCAGAACACGGGCCGCACGCAAGCCCACGGCGCTGAGCCTGGGATCCACATCAGCCCCGAACTCTCCCCAACAGCACAGAAGTATTAACTGCCACGAGGTACTGATGAGGTGGAGAAACCGTATATAGGCAGGTCAACAGGCCGGGACACGCTAGACCATTACGCATTTTACAGACGGGCCGGGCCGGAACAGAATAAAAGCAGGGCTCCAGCGATCTGTGAGCCATGGGGAAGGAGAAACAGGAAAACCCCAGGCTGTACTTCGATGGGGTCGCTTTTCATGTGTCCCCATTATAAACACAAGTGGCTAAACATTATTAGTGGCAAAGAGGAGAAACACAAGTCCAAGGTGACCTAGAAGCGGCAGGCCAGACGTCCTCCTCATCTTGAGGTTTAATCCTTAGGGTCCATCTCTAGGCTCAGCTCGGGCACCATATGTCATTTATTATTACGGCATGAAGTTATGAAACTGGAACCAGGCCAGATATCCCAGCCACCCCCCCTTCCCAACCATGGCAGCGATGAAGAACACCTGGCCAAGAGTTAGCCCCGCCCCCCAGCCGCAGGTACGGGGGCCTCTCACCCGCCGCAGGTCTGAAGAAGAGAAGCCAGAGCCTGTGTAACGGCCCCGCAGGGGACGTTAATCAAGCACAGAGCGCTTTTTCATAAATAACCGAGGGGCCCAGCCTAAACAACGCAGGGATGTCATGTGTTTATAAGAGCGGATCTGCTCCTCCGCTCAGGGCCTCTTTGGAGTAACTCCCTCACACGCCAGCGAGAGACTGCGAGTGACCTCACCCCCGGCACACAGACACCAGCAGCCAGCTGCGAGGGCCCCCTGCAGAGAGCCGCAGCGCCGCGTGACTCACGCACGCACACGCACGCACCCACACACTCCCGCGCTCCGTGGCATGGCATGCACCCTGGCATGCACCCTGGCATGCACCCTGGCATGCACCCTGCCTGGCATGCACCCTGCCTCACTCTCAAACGCTGCTTACGAGAAATAAAGCTTAGACTGTCCCTTTAAAAACCCAAGTGGTCGCAGATGTATGTCCGCATGACGAAAAACAGGCACGTTCAGGTAAGCGCCAACATTAATGCTGTCCCAGCATGCAGGCCGGTTGCTAGGCAACACCCTCCATCCCATACTCTTCGTCAATGTGCCGTCGATTGGCCAATCGGCTCTTCTGGAGCTTTCCGCTCAGGTGCGCAGGCCGACTGCCACCTGAGGGAGTGACTCAGCCCGTTTGGCTGCCTGTCACAGATCCGACGTCAGCCAAACCAAACCGGGGACTAGTGCTGTGACAGCGAACACGTCACATGGCATTAAATAAGTTTACAGCGGGCCTGAGGGTTGAGAGCAGCTTAGCTACAGAACAGGATGAAATAAATAAGGAAGCATAGATGGAGCACCGGAGCCTGAATCTCGCCCGTGGCCTGAGCTCACGTTTGTGGAACGGAGAACGAATGATCAACACGCCGCTTTCACACCCAAAACAAATATAAGCAACACACAGGCCCCTGTGGGCTGGACAGAACTATCCGCCCCCCACCCCAATCCCCGCCCCGCCATCGCCATCTCACATCCACCTTCGGAAAAAAAGTACCTATTCAAATAAACATCCCAGAAATGACCCGTGTGCGGAGTGATCCTTCCAGAACCAACAGGGGGAACCGGACAGAGGCGACCTGTAAAAATTATACAGAGGCAGGAAGAGGCAGCGAGGCTGAACTGAGGCCATCATTTGATTACTGTATCTGAAGTGTAAGTCGTTCCGTTTTTGTGGAATCTTCCATTCGGGTTCACTCACACACACGTGCTGCTCGTGACTTATCTGCAACGTGCATGTGCTTGGAACCGGTGGCGTGTGCATTTCCTGCTTTGAGGACCGCAAGCAGTACGAGTGTGAACAGTCGTTACGGCGATCACACCTGGCAGAAGCATCGATTACGCCCCTCTGAAAGCTACAAGTCAGAATAGGTTTATCCACACACCGCTCAGGAATCTGAATACAGATAATCACTCGGTAAAACAGCAGACTGTGTCAGCTTCAGGCACATTTGTTAGTCAGAAACAGATGAATGTTGTTAGAATTTCATGGGTTTTTGACACATGCTGTCCGACTAGATATATCTAATTTGTTCTGGTTATGACACTCCGCCAAACAAACAAATCATGATCTGTCTCAGCAGCCCTATGAAACAGCTTAAGAAAAATTTGTCTCATGCTTCCTGTGACACATAAAGCCACTTTTCTGCAAAGACAATTCAGCACAGTGGGTCATCTGCATTATGTTCAGCTATTGTGAGAATATTATCAGCAAACATACTGAAACCTTGTGACACCATTCGGAACATCAAAAACCAGGCTGCCACTCTGTTTCTAACGGGATATGCAGGCCTGTGCACTTCGCGCAAAAAGCAGAAAGTTGGTTTTTACTTTTGTGGCCATCATGAAACATCTGCATCAATATCTACATCAAAACTAAAGCATTATTTCCAGCAATACTCTGACCACGTAAAAAACAAAACCTGGAAACACGCAGCCGTAACATCTCGTATAAACGCTACCAGATGCGTTAAGACGGGCTTTGAATTGACAGAAAATAGTTGGCATGATATCTGGCTGTGCCAATCGTTGTCTTGGAGTTGCAAACAAAAAACAGGCCAGCTAAACACTCCCAGGTGGTGGCTGCGTGTGTGTGTGTGGGTGCGAGTGCAGAACGCGGCACGCACGCGGCACCAACACAGGGTGGGATTTATTAATTGCTAAAATGACTGTGTAATGTATCTGCATTACAGCCACCTATTTGGCGAAGCATTTAAAAATTCTTTGCGTTCCAAATTCATGCATGTTATTTTACAATAATAACTTTGGAATATATCTGTAATACGGCTTAAAATGTGATCTTGCCTAGTGGTTTTATTATCACAAACTGTCAATTATGTATAATAAGATTTTTCCTTCAATGGCGCACTGGCCGCCTGTGACCAGAGAGCGATTTGACTCTAAGCAGGACATAACTAACTTTCAACACTAATAACCAGCAAGTACGATAAAGCGGTCGCTCAGTGTCCCATTACACACTAGCGATGCACTCACTGTCCCTGCTTTCACCCTCCAAAACTCAATAACATAAAACATGTTAATTAAGAAAAACATATCCCCCGTCAAAGTAACCATACACTGTATTTACAGATAACCCGACATGAGTGTAAAACTCATCAGACTGTGCCGGCAGTCAAAAAGAAGCAAATGCTTCAAGTTCGCGTGTGATGGAGTCGCGAAGTCATATTCATCCTAGGGGCAAAAATGCCTTCACTGCTGCCCCGTAAGCACCCCGTCCATAAATACTGGTCAGCTGTCACTGCAGTAATAATTAACAGATAATGCCTAATAATGATGTGGAATGCTCTGGAATGCTCACCCGCACAACCCGACCAAGCAGAAAGCGAAGCAAAAGCAGCCAAACGTGAAGTAAACACGCCTGCAGTTAACTTACTCCTACACATCCTGCGCTACTGTTCCACTCGCATAACTTTAAAAACGCTGTTTCGCGCTTTTCCTTAACTTTACACACAGATTGCACCGGACACAGGCGCCTACTGCAGATCGCAGACGTACCCGTGAAGGAAACTTGTCAAAAAAAGTGACGGCAAACTTCGCGTCCCGCCCCGCTGGCTGCAAGCTCGCCGATTTCACTTTTAACTTTATTCCGGCGGACTCGAGACGCCCGTCCGCAGGTCCTGCTGATTATAACGCTGCGGGGAAACGCTCGGTCACCACGCTGACGCCGGCGACTCTCCTGTCACCGAAAAAGTTGAAAAGTTTTTAAGATGAGCCGTGCGCGATGAGCCGTACCGAGGCGGGGCTTGGAGGGGGTCCAGCCGCCGTCACTCAGCCTGCGCTTCGGTTCTCATTGGAGCGAACAGCCGAAGGGGGGGATCTAAACGGCCCGGAGTAAGACAGCGGGTTCGGCCCCTTATAGCGCGTCCCAAAGGCAGCGCTTTGCGCCTGGCGGTTCGCAATTGTTGATCTTGGCGACCCAAATAAAAGTGGGGTAAAATATTTATCATTGCACTTGGTCTAACCCTCTGCGATCGGCTGCTATTTCAATATGCCCATTGCTTGCAAACTCGTGCTTTCTGGCCAGACTGGGCACTCGATCCAGACTAATATAATATGGTGAGAGCCCATGAAGTCCTCGTTGGGAAGGGGAGCCACATTTAATTTGACACCCGTCACGCACGTGGGCGGCGATCAGCGGCAACTAATATGTGAAAATAATGAACAATAAATGTAAAATTGACGTGTAACCTTTCTCAGTGGATCTAATGTGTTCCCATAACATCTAGGCTACTTCTGTGATGATACAGAGTGACTGCTCGTTAGTGTGAGTTTATAAGCGCAGTAAATAACGTGTTTGGGAGGTTTATCTCAAACGGAGTTTATTTTGAGCAAAATAGGGGGGGAAATGACAAAAAAAATGGATCCAGGGCTGCTGTGGTCTCTGGTCTTTGATATAATCTGTTTAATCCTCCATTGACTGCCAGGCAAATTCTGGAAATCTCTCAGAATCTGTTTCCATTCACATCATTTTTGATTAACTGCAATCTAACGATGGGATTAAAAACGGTGAAAAGGAGGCAATGCTTTTAAATGTAAATAAAAATTCACCAATGTGCCTGCGTTTTATTATCGCTTCATCTTTAAAAATGCGCAATTCCACCTTACTGTCTCGCGAGGAAATGAGCATTGCGGTTTGCGAATTATTTAATGCCAGTAGTTAACTTTAACCACGTACACACACGCTCTCTCGCTTTCTCTCTCTCTCTCTCTCTCTCTCTCTCTCTCACACACACACACACACACACACACACACACAGGTCTAATTTGGGACTGGCCCCTGGGTGTTTTCAGATGGAGCTGTTGCCAGAGGTCCCAAGCTGGAGGTCTGGGCTCGTGGGGCCCCGAGGCAGTATGGGGTATGGCACGGGCAGGCTAGCTGGGGGGGGGGGGGTGTCTGTAGCTAAGGATGGGTTTCTTGTTTCGGGACCCCCACTCAAAAAGTAATTTTGGGCCCCCTTGCAAAGTGTAGTGACTGTGGCCAAATGTGTGATTTAAGTGGTGCTGAACACTGCCGCCTTCGAGACTGAACACTGCCAGTGACTTCCTCCTTCCCAGCATGCACTGCTCTTGGACAGCTGGGAAGGCAAATGAGTAATTTTTTTTTCTAGATTCATAAATCTAAGGTGCATATAGTTTTAATCTCTCTATGAGCATCGTGTGTTTTGAAAAGCCGTGAGTCTGTGCAGTGAGTCTCACTGTCTACCGTGCAGACGTTCCCAGTATCCGCCTTCATAATGGCACACACTGCGCTGGGAAAACACTTCCCTATCAAACTGGAAACTGTAACCGGCTTCTTTTCTCTTCATTAAATCAAATGTTTACTCTTTCTTTCTTTCAGGGGTGATATGAAAGTATTAAAAATAATCTATTGGTCTGGCCAAGCTGTCCCTGGGGGGCTCTGTTGAAATCGTGGTTTAGCACTGGGGTTGGGGGCCACATTTTCGGAGGGAGGTCAGGGAGGACACACCCTATCACTCACGCTGATGTCAGTTTTCCAGCCCCCCACCCTGTTGCCACTACACTGATCTGGCCTGTGGCGCAGACGCCTTGTGGCAGCTGGGGGCCGGTCTGGCGTGATATACGGGCTGAACTTGGGGGGGTGGCATCAGAGGATGTTTAGCTAGAACACTCCGTGCCGAGTGCAGTTCTGTTTACTGCTTAGGCCTGTTGGTGTTTGCGCTGGCGGTGCGTGTTCGATAGAGGCTGATTCAGCCCCGCAGGCCTGCCTTTATGTCGCTCCCGTTCACTACACTTTTAAAAAATGTAAAGCTTGCGTGAGGATCTTGTCTTCTGGTTGAAAGGGCTTCAACCAGAAGACAAGATCCTCACGCAAGCTTTACATTTTTTAAAAGACAGAAACAAAGAAAGCCATCGGTCCAGTTGTGTCTTTCTGGACAAACGCTTCTTCTTCTGCCTCTCCTCAGGCGGCTGTTTTCCCAACAGAAAACTGCATCTTTGAGGTGGCAAGATAGCAGGTCTGCGAAATGTCCTCAAAAAAAACGGCAACGCTGCAAAGACGTGGAGAGCGGGAGGGAGATCTGGAGGTCAAAATGCAGATGGTCATGGGGTTCAGGCCCTTAGCCCCGCCACAAGAATATGTGAATGTTAGACCAAGAGGCGCGGGGCACCCCTGCCAGGCGTTCGGCGCTCCGTGTTAAGGCTGAGACGCCGGCCGCATGGTGTTGCCCCGGTGACGCATCGGCCAATGAAAGCGCAGCCAAGGCTCACGGCGCTCCCACCTCCGAACGGACAGGGGTCACTATTTATTCTGGCCAGACCGCACCAACATAAACTCGGGCACGTGCCAGTTCCAGCGTATCGGCTGAAAGCTTCAGTGTTTTCTTTTTCAATTCTCTATTTACTGTCGCAAACAACATGGGGCTGCACAAACAATAGCCATCACTTTTTTCCCTCTAGGGTGGCAATCAAGTAAGAATTTAGTTAGAAACTCAGCAATCTGCATGATCAGCAGAGTCGCCCAGGGGCGACGGCACAGAGAAGCTTGGGGGAATGCAGGGATCCACGTGTGGGTCTGCAGTAACTTCCCCCAAAAGGCCGGTTACTGTGTGCCAGGGCTGGGTTGGCACACACCACTGTGACCAAATCCATATTCAGAACAGCAGACCAACCGTGTCCCACATCCGCTGCCACCCGCCGGACAGATGGCAGCTCAGGCCACAAGCTGGGTCAGGTCATGGGGGGTCTAGGTGGGTTTGCGGGCCGGGGTCCAGAGTTCCCTCTCTGCAGTCTCAACTGTTTTTATATATTATTTCTCTATGAGGCAAATAAACGATACTGAGCTTCCATGTCAAACTTTCGTTACCATTCTGTCAGACGTTGGAGGTGCAATCTTACCCTCCAAAGCATCCAGACCCTCGACCCATAAAACTCCCACCATTTAAGGTCCTTCTCATAGATCTTGGTGCCTTTGAGATGTTTGGTTTGAGATGAGGGCAGGAATGGCTGGTTATACATCGCAGGCTGATAAAAGAGCCAATGAATGAGAGTCTGTGGTGCGAGTGGCTGTAAATCAGCGCCCCCTGGAGGAGCAGTGGGGGGACAGACGTCCTCAACGAGGATGTGGTGGGGTTCAATTAACCAGCTGGGGGGGGGGGGGGGGAAGGTATGAGGATTAACCAGGGGGGGGGGGGGGGTCGAGAGGACAGTCAATGGAGATTATCCAAGAAAAACAAAGAGCAGTGTGACACAGCACCAGAACTCCCTGCTGAATTCTTCATAAGAGAAACGGTTGAGGAGTCTTCGGGGAGGGCAATGACCTCAGCACCACAGCCCTCCCCCAGCATCCCTGGAGGGGGGGGGGCGTCCCAGGCCTGGGGTCTTAGGAACTTCACGCCAGGCCTCTGTCATCAACGTCAGAGTCATTCACGCGCCCCATCTACAGGAATCCTCCAGAGGTCACTGCAGGAGGCGTGACAGATTTGCTGATTGTGGCTTTATTTGGGACCTCAGGCATTAATCAGGAAGAGATGTGTCTATGAGCACTGAGAGCTTCCGGGGTCAGAGGTCGCAAGCATGTCACTGAGAGGCCAACACAGGAGATGCGGCTTGTGGCTGAGCACACAGAACGTAACTCACTAAGCTTGGGTCAACTGGACAACGGTCTGTCGCTCTCCAATCCTGACAGCAGCAGGCTATTCAGACTGCAGAAATTATTGCATATTGCCGTTGGAAACCAAATTTTCCAAATTATTTGCAACAACGTTCTTCTTAAATCTGAGCTAATTTCACATTTTACATACTGGACTACAATTCTAAAGTATTTCAGCCAACAGCCTTGTTGGATTTTTGTAGACATAAATATTATTCAGAAAAACCTATCATGTCATACAACTTTACTCAGAATCTGTCGGTTACAGCGACCACTGCCCCCTTGTGGCGACCTGTACTATGGACGCCTTCTTACCTGCATAGAGATACGGAAACTGGTCAAATGTTACTTCGTTTAATCAATATCAAGTCTTTCATTTAATTAATAATTAATGAGAATGTTCCCCATTATAAAAAAAAACCTCATAATTCTATATTTTAGCATTTTGTAGGACAATCTCTGAAGTTTAGAATGACGACGACAGTACAATTGGTATTTACGAGCAGTTACGGATCCTGGACACCAAACCACAGAAATATCCGGTCCTGCTTCCTAGCACAAAATCAATGAAGAAGCATTTCTCTCCAAAACACCACTCTGGGTCTGTAATTTTATCAGGCATTCAGAGGACTTACTGGAATAAAAATTGTCTACTACAAGTGCGTGTTTATACATATTTTTCTGTCTGTTTCCTGTTAGCAAAAAGGAATAAACAAATATGTCTGGTTTAATATACGGTGTATAAAATGGGGCCCAGGTGTTCCAAACGACACCTTCATGTACACGAAGGGAGATTATAGATAATATTACAGCCTCTTTCTTCATATATTTCGTCAAATAAATAAAATAAAATACGAACCGTACTGATTTCCACTTAATTTTTATTGCCAGTCATTGCCATAAACTCACAATGGTTTTGCCCCAGTTTGCGCTCACAACGGATGATGTTTAATGGTCTGGAGTGTTCTGCGCTTTCGACCTTACACACGATATTCACGAAGCCTCAATATTCCTATTCTATTCCGCAAATGTCCAACATATTTTTAGATATTCGAAATATCCAGTAGGATTCTTGAGACTTCAAATGTTTTCACGGCTGTGAAAATACTTGTTGTCCGTTGATGGCATGCACTTTTCGCGAGGTGCTGGAAGTATTTCTTCGCTGTGCATATTGGCTTATTGTAGCTGGAGGAGACCGCGGAGGAGTCCGAGGCTCCCGGCCAGACGCAGTGCGCTGCCGCTCCGCTCCCGGCGCAGACGCTCCCTGGTGACCAGTCTGGGCCGCACTCTGCTAGAAACGTTATTGCGCACAAATAGGACTCTTTCTGCCGGCAGATTTATGGGATGTTTTCGAAAAGCCCAGTACGCGCTGGCTTTGGCTTCGTTCGTGTGTGTGTGTGTGTGTGACATTTTATTTAACAGCATTAAAAATCCAGGCGACAGCCGGTGCATCTTTTATTTAGGCCGCGTCTTGGCGGCAGACGCGTAATGTCACGGTGGCAGAAAATGCGGCGTTCAAACTACCGCCTACACGTTTTAGCACCTGTATTTTAAAGCTCGGTTTTAGTAAAATTACGGGTCACACTGTGACAGTATTTTTAATGGATTAAGTTACGATAATAACACCTCCTTAAATCAAGACCCAATATGTAAGTACAAAAAAATAGTATAAAAGAATAAGCAGGCATTTCTCAGAAATGACCGCCTGAAGCTGCCATTGCAAGCAAACAGTCACGTAAAATATCAGTGTCTTATTAACTCCATAACCTGCGGTGACAGGGCCCGTAGTTTAATTGTAATTACCGACCTAGATTAAACGGAGTCGCTGTGTGATCTTTTGCGCAATTAAAACTGATTGATCAGTATTGATCAGAAATGCAACATTGTATGTTAAAGTGACTACTGATTTCTTTTGACAACTTGCACAAGATCATATCTATATTTTACAAATTAGCTCATCAAACTAATAGAAAACTGTAGTTGACGTCAGTAAGCTATCAGTTGAAAGAATTATGCATTTTCTCTTAAAAAGCTTGTTTGTGGTAGTACATCACTTGTCTTACTACTTGATTACAGTCTAGATATAAGAATTAATTACATCTGCAAACTATCGTTTCGTTACTAACTTCTGTCGGCTGGATTTTGAGTTGCGCATCGACCAGTACAAAGCGACGTCATCAGCTTGCCAAGTTCAGCGAAGTGGTATAATACGGGTTTAAGGTTCCGGGGAGAAAACCTCCGGCCTCGCTGTCTGAATGCTGCCCTGGGGACCGGATCGGCTCCGGTGCCCCTCAGAAGTCTCCATCAGAAAAGTGAGAAGCAAAACTTTCACAGGGGTTTAGAATTCTCCTCACGTGATTAATATGACAGAGGACCACTGTATTTTCTAGGTCTGTTTTTTATTATTTGTACATTATGTTACTTATTTACTTCTTGTTGTTTCCATTCGGGTCCATTATGGAAAATCATTGTCATGTATTTTAGTTCACGTCTAACTGTATTACTAGTATTTGCCAAAGAGAAACGTGAATGTTTAGAGTGTGGACGCCACCTAGTGGTTCAAAAATACAGCTGCGTGCATATTGAAAATGGCAAAAACCCACTGATCGTAATCATTCCGGAAATATTCAAAACATCACAAGGGGCTTTATCGTCTTTTACTGTTTGACTTCTTTGTTGATAATAATAATTTCCTGTACTTGAGTCTGCAGTCATCAGTAACAATTTTACAAGCCAACAAATACATAAAATGTAGAATCCACACCTCCTAGACGCATTCGTAATTCCCTCTGCGTCCTGTGTCTTTTTTTTAAAAACATGCCAAAATACGAGGTTAGCTCGTAATTACATATAGCCATGTCTCTCTGATGTAGCAGAACTGAATAGGTACCCACTACTCTGAATTCATTAGGCAATTTCCTCACTATAATATTTGCTTGACTCCTGAATTCTATTATTTCTGTAATTTCAGAATTGATTTTTCGTAAGTTAATACGGCTTCTTCACTGGTCATAAAATAAAAACCAGCCACGGGCGGCACATGCATTGGTTAGCACCGTCGCCTCACCCCTCTTGGACCCGGGTTCAAGTCTCCGCCATGGCTCCATGGGTGTGGAGTTTGCATGTTCTCCCCCCTGCTGTCGTGGGGTTTCCTCCAGGTACTCTGGTTTCCCCCCACAGTCCAAAATCATGCTGAGGTTAATTGCAGTTACCAAATTGCCCACGTGTGTGAATGGTGTGTGAGTGTGCCCTGTGATGGGTCGGCGCCCCATCCTGGGTTGTTCCCCGCCTTGCGCCTATAGGCTCCGGACCCCCTACGACCCTAAATAGGATAAGCAGTTTCAGAAGATGGATGGAAAATTCAGCCACTTCATACAAGCAGTACGACGACTGAGAAATCCTAACCCTTCCGCGCCCCCTTGTGTTAAAATCGTATTATTGAAATGACGCGATGCTATTCACGTCCCCACACAAACCACTATTCTTCATTTATATGATATATAATTTGGAGTAATTCCCCAAACTAGCCAGGAGAGATCATGTGCGCGTACTGGCCAATAAGACCCAAACACTGACATTTGCACACCTCTCAAACTTTGGGTGCATTCCAGAAATGGGGCTGAAAATAATTTGGTTGAAAGAATTGGTTTTTGGAATGAAATAAATGTATATAACTTGGAAAAGTTCATCTTCCATCCTGGACAGGTAACCATGCAACCAAGTGAATAGGTGAGTAGTGAGTAGGTGAGTAGTGAGTAGTGAGTAGGGCTTTACATTAAATGTATTTTTATATGTGAAAATTGGCGACAGCTCGTAGTCCACATCTGGCCAGGCTTTTAGTGGAGTGGGCTGGACCCCCACCTCAAATGCTGCCCAGTACATAACCTGCAAGGTCACATAATATTCTCTCTACATTCTTCACGTGATGTTGCGCTGGATACGGCCAACACAACTGTCCCCACACTCTGGGACATCTGATCCTCGGTGAAGGTGCAAAGCCATCACGGGAATGGAGATAAGACCGGCCTCGCTGCTGCGGTAAATGTATTCATGCTTTAATATGTCAGGCGTGGATCACAGACTGACTGTCGAACCCGACTCTCTCGGGTTAAGCGGTCAGCCAGTGGCAGTGCCCGCCAGCCCTATACATCATGGGTTTGAGTGCCACTATCAGTACAGGATGTTAGACTTGGATGGGAAACCTGACTCATGACTCCAGGTTACCCATCCAACACTCCCACAACACTTCCACAATTCCTTGGAAGATTTGGCAAAAGAGACTTTTCCAAGGCAAACCCTTCAGTAGAGTCCCCAGAGCCTCTCCGAAGTCCCACAGCATTACCCAAGAAACGGCGACTGCTACCACAGCAGCGACCACTACTCTAGGTGGCCTATTTCTATGCCCGACGTTAGTCATTCCCCAAAGATTCATCTTCCACACCCAGTCTGCTCCCAGCCCAACACACAGCCCCTCATTTTCTGACTTGACATCATACTATGTGCTCTCTAGGACTTCAGACATTTTGCAGTATGAAGTTCAGACAGGTGACCATTCTGCACCACAAACCTTTGGACCCAGAATCATGCTGAGTTCTAGATTTGCAGCTTTGGATCACAACAGACAAAGATGGATTTGTTTGTAGGAATATGTGTTGACATGTGGGGTAAGGATGATTGATGCGCTATACGTAAATCTATTTCCAATAACCACTTTTCCTATTAGCGACGTCCCGACGGTAAGAGAAGCCTCGAGCAACAAAAACAAATGAATCACTGCAAGTGCTTCAGAACGTACTTCTGTTTCTCCGAGATGTTACGGAAATCCATAATGTGAATTCATCATTCAGCCGGGGCAAAGGTTTTGCTCTTTCCCTTACACAAGACACTGTACAGAACGCCTTCCCATAGCTTAAAAATATAACAGTTTTAAACAATTTTCTTGCAATCTTAAATCATTTATTGCTTCTCATTTTCAAAGATAGGCCTAAACGACTGAAAGGATGAATGGATGGATTTCTGACGCATAAACGGGATTAAAGCGAAACGAAATGTTTCTATTAAATTAATTATTAGTAGTACTAGTTATAGGGGTAGTAGTATTAATATATTTTTCCTGAGACTTGCGTATGTTACTGAGTAACACCGCCTGTATTCGAGGTTATCATAAATACTGGTTAACTGCCTTATCTTAAGGGCTTAATTTCATGAACCTGCAATCGCAATCCCACCCCACCCCCCATACACACACGCAGGCGTGAATCCTGACGTCTGACTCGTCTGCGGCTGTACTCGAGTTCATGTTGCGGGGGTCTCGGTCGGCGCTGGGGTGTCATCGGGCTGTTATGAGGGGACGGCGCTGCCTCCGTCATGCACTTTCAGACGCCGTTAACCGGTTAACGGAGCGAAAACCGTCCGACGACGTGACGCGCGCTGTTTTGCACACTGTAACGTGAAGATGGCGAGGCTGCTCCGCGGCTTGCTCATGTTTACGTTCACGTTAACGGGCAAAATCAAAGGCATCGGCTTCTGGTCCCTGATCTACGGCTATTGTGCGCTGTGCACCTGCTGTGTGCTGCTTAAACTTTGCTGGAGCGCGATCGCGAGGCCGTCTCGGGCGTTTCATTGGAAAATCCGGGAGACTGCGCCTGCCTGCCTCAACGACACGTCCTTGGGAACCCACTGTTATGTCAAAATAAAGGTAAGGCGCTCCTTTTGCCCGTTTAGATGCGCATTTATGCTTGGTGTGTCCCTCCCCCGCGATCTCGGTAGAGCCGTCGGAGGACGAGACGGGGGCGGCCCTCCGATCTAGCGGCCCCTTTGTAACGCAGTCACCTTATTTCCAAAGCGTCTAAGTTATACAACGCGGTGCCAGCCTGCCCCCCGCCCCCCTCCCTCCCTATTTCGTGTATTGATTATCCAGCCGGTGCTGAGGACAGCTCCTCACCCCCACCCCCCAGACGTCCCGGAGCCGTTTAAGAAAAGCTTTTCCGTTCCTCCCCGCAGACCCCCAGTTCTGAGCCGGTCCCCTTATATCGGCTCCATGCAGTCTTTGCTCTCTGCTGTTATGGGAGTCGCAGCTCCCGTAGTCTTCATCTCGGTCAGCTGTTCGAGCGTCGATTTCACTGCCTTTACATCTGTGCACATACGCAAAAAATGCAAAGCAGTAGTGCATTTTATTGTCGATGTATTATGATTGGTATTAAATATTTAAAAATATATATTTTGCATTAAATTTGGGCCCCTATATAATACGCAGCATTAACCCGTATTTTGTTCATCTCGCCTGATGTGGTGCCTTGATAACAGTAATTAGATATTCGCCGACTGGAGCAGCAATTAGCTTTGACTGCTTAACTAGCGGAACGGAAATCCCCAGCTTTAACCGAGACATGTTTAAAATTAATAAATAGCAGGTTGCACGTTTTCATGCTTCATAACAATATAAGGCGGCGCGGAGGCGCACGGCGTGACCTTCAACGCGGCGATGGCCGATCCGGTACAGACTTCGGTGTGGAGAAAAACCCAAAGTTTTTGTTTTACACATAATGGCAGCGTATTGAGAAGCATGTTGTTGTTTTCCTCAATCCCAGGAATCTGGCCTGAGATTCCACTACGTAGCCGCAGGAGAGCGGGGAAAACCTCTCATCCTGTTTCTCCACGGTTTCCCCGAGTTCTGGTAAGACATTAGACAGGCACAGATACAAAACAGAGGCGCTGTAAAGGGGGGAGAGATTCTACGGCCCCTAAAAATGGGTACATAATTGTATTGGTTTGGAGACCTAAAATGATATGCTTTCACGGCGCGCGAACCCTCTAGCGGTGCCCCTGCTTCAGTGTAATAAGAACAAGATCAACAATACTTATGCCCTTACTATAGAAGCCCAGAACATCTTTCAGTTTTGGAGAAATGAAGCCAAATGCAATGTAACTGTATCTATGAGTTTTTATGCAGGATTTATAAGTCCCATCTTGGTCTTAGTATCAGATTTTGAACGATGTGACAGAAACCAGGGCTGTGTTCCAGAAACACAACCCCAAAGTGGGTTAGGGTTAGTCCGAGTTTATGTTTGTTGTTGTTGTTTTTTTTAGGAGCTGATTTTGTGCAAATAACACTTCACTGACATACTATCCCTGGATGTATTCTGTTTCGCTAGAAACCTTTGTCTCACAAAATGTCTTTAACAGAATACCAACAGAGTCTAATTAATTGTTCATTTGAATCTGACGTTTATTTTAATGACAATTTTAAAATCCAGAGCTGACATCTGACTGAAATAATTAGCTCAGATTCCAATAGAGATCCCAGTTTTGTATGTTTACTTTCTAGAGTAACCCTAAGCTGATCTAGGTATTGGTACTAATATAATTTAACTGGTATTGATATACTGCCTGGATATGTAACAGCCAGTCATCTTGTGTAGAATTAACCGTGGTATTTGTGTACTCTCTAGAAAGAATGGATCCCAGTAGCCATATTAAGATAATCGTTCTTTACGTGGCTCATTATTAATTAAACTTTTTCTACGAAATGGACAGAATCAGAATAAGTGGCAGGACGAAGACGATTAAGCAAACAGGAAGTGCCTGAGAGCTGGAGGGCATGTGGGATTAGAGACGGCCTGACCCCTTAGTCCGCTATGCCCATAGTGATTAGCAGATTTCACCTCATTCATCTCCCTGATCCTACGGTTTCCACTTTTTGCCCGTTGTTCTCTGGTCCATAGATGGTGACGCCAGTTCCCTGCATTCTGCGATCCTGGCTAGTGCGCATGTATGTAGAGATCTGCATGAAGGAATATCCGAGAGGAAGTCTGTAGGGGTACACATGCAGTCAGGACTCTCACTCTGCAGAAGCTCGACATGTGTCCTCCTCTTTTATCCACAAGGACGATGCTCACCGTGTCCCTACTGCAAAGGTCACCACGGTCACAGTTCTTGTCTCCATGGCAACCGCAACGTCATCAAAACGATCTTTGCAGTTCTCCACGTCCTTATTGTTTATTCTGTGCTTCACTATATTAACCTGGTAGTACTAAGGGCACCCAAGGAAGACGGAGAAGGGGCTGGATCAGGGTGCCTCTCTGATATAATGAGACTCAACAAACAAACAAACAAACAAACTCATGCAGAATAGTGCAGTTTCTTAACATGAATTTATGCAAATGATGCTACTAGTGATTGAGGTTTTTTTTTTTTTAAATCCTCCAGTTTTGGATTCCCTGACATTTTTGCTTCCATTTAATCACAAGAAGTTCTTAAGAAACTTGAGTTCTTCAAGCCAAAGTCCTGGAGAACTGTCTCTATGTTTGTGCTTTGTGTCACTTGTGCTTTCAAGCGTCACTTTCATGCCGAGTCATTACTTACACTGCGGCATCTCCTGATCCCTTAAATCGTTAAGGAGAAAGTCTGAGAAGACATTTGCAGCCACTGAACAAAGGTCAGACCAGGTTTACCTGTAGGAGGAGATTTCAGCCCAAACAATGACAACTGCATGTGAAAAATTATTGGTAACAGTGATCTGGAAGATTAATTGTTGAACTATTAGGATTCAACAAACGCAGGATAGAAAAATACTTCACCATGACATAATTTTAGTGTGGTTTCCCAAGTAGTCAACGCAAACTGTTTTTTCACAGTTGTTTCTATGCCATGCTGGTGTAGCGGTTTTGCCACTTGACTAGCTGGCTCTTACCTAGATGGGCACGCAAAGATGTCCGTTGCTTCCGCTCCGCACGGTCTGCTTCCCGCAGGTTCTCATGGCGTCACCAGCTCAGGGAGTTCAAGAGTGAATTCCGGGTGGTGGCCGTAGACATGAGAGGCTACGGCGAGTCAGACCAGCCCACATCCACCGACAGCTACCGCATGGACTACCTGCTGACCGACATCAAGGACGTGATGGAGTGTCTGGGTGGGTGCCAGCACCTCTACACCTGTATAGCTCACCCCCATCTCCACACCTGCCTCCACATCTCTGGGGGCCATCAGAAACATGCTCTGATAGGTCTAGAGTACCTCTCATAGTTCAGCTGCTTCTCAGTCTGGGCCACCTTCCAGAACAGAGGTCACCCTCAGCTTTTATGGTCCATCTTGTCGTCCCTCTCTGCCCTGACACACACCCTTGTTTGGCTGCGACTAGGCTATAACAGATGCTTCCTTGTGGGCCACGACCTGGGTGGCTTCGTGGCCTGGCTGTTCGCCATCCACTACCCCGAGATGGTGACCAAGCTCATCGTCCTGAACTGCCCCCACCCCTCTGTGTTTGCAGGTATGTTTTCACGTGCTTCAACCTATACAATTGCAGCTGCTCATGCAAGCGATTACTCAAAACGTCTTCATTTTTAAGACGAACCCTGATAAATGTTGATGCTGACCACAAGCTATAAAACAAGGACGTTCAGTTCCTGAGTCTACCAAATATTTCCCTCCAAAAACCAATTCTTGATGTTTCGATCCCCTTCATTTTACCGTAAATAATGGCAGTGGTCTCGTCACGGCTGGGGGGGGGTTATATGACCAAAGGGATAGTTTCACTGATGTCATCGAGTACATGTGGATTTCTGTTAAGTGACAATATCTATACACAAAAATGTGCCAGCTGGACGTGAGCTGAATGCAAAGTCCACGGTGGGCAATCATTAACTCTGCAGGGGCCAAGAGGCATTACAGAAATGTTCTCTGAGTCCCCTCCCTCCGAGTCCCCCGCCGCCCCACTTAGACCGGTCTGTCATTTCAGATTACACCCCCCGACACCTCAGCCAGTTGGTCAAGTCCAGCTACATGTTCTTCTTCCAGTTGCCCCGCCTTCCCGAGCTGGTCTTCTCCATGCACGACTTCAAGGTGAGCGGTGTGTGGCGTGCCCACAGAGGTTTCCATGGAAACAGACCAGGAGATCCAGGCCCGGATTTAAAATAAAACAAAGACCACCTTTTACTAAACAATGCACAGACATGGTACCTGTCTTTCACTTATTTGTTCCACATGTTTTTTCACTCGTTCCTGACCCCCAGAAGCACATAAGCAAAGGTAGCTATTTCAAGGGCAACGTTATAATTAAAGTCGGAGGTTTGTGACGACACGTTTTTGCAGAGCGCGGGTAACGTGGTTGGGAAACATCATTAATGCTACATGCTAACAGCCTGAATGGAGGCCCCTGTGCGTTTGCTTCGGGAATCCTCGCCGGGGGGAGCTTAGCCCCTCAGGCACTCAGCTCCGGCTCTCGGTCCCAGAATGGGGAGGGGGCAAGCATGCAGGGTCCAGGTCCAAGGCTGGTTTTAAAGGCCTCGTCCAGTCTCTCTCACCCAGGCCCCAGAATCATCACGGAGACCGTGCCAGCAGTCACCGTGACGACGGTGACGTGACACACGTGTATGGCCAGCCAGCGGCCTAGATAATCCAGACGAGAGGAATGGGGAACATGGCGGGGATTCACAGGCGTGACCCCCCCCCCCCCCACTGACTGTGTCTCCTCCTATAGGCTCTGAAAAGCCTGTTCACCAGCAGCAGGACTGGGATTGGCCGGAAGGGCAGCGGGCTGACCAATGAGGATGTGGAAGCGTACCTGTACTACTTTTCCCAGCCTGGGGCCCTCACAGGTCCCCTCAACTATTACAGGAACATGTTCAGGTGAGAGAGGCGGGGGAGGCCATTACTCACCCCTTTATTTGGCATGTATCACTTTCTATTCCTATTGCACCCTCTGCTGGCGACATGCATTCTGACTGCCCTCTAGTGTTCCGCTGCAGTATTGCAAGCTGCGGGCCTCTGCAGGCACTTCATGATAAAGCAAACAAAAAAGATGGAAGGAAACTCCACTGGCCGTCTGCTAACACGCTCCCTGTGACAGAGGGAAGCAGCTCCACTGGCCTAATGATCGGGCTAATTGAATTTTCAGTCTATCCCTAGAAATAAAATTACAAAAAGTGAAACTAAATGACATAAAATGAAATAGAAATATATCTTTCAAATAAAAATGAATAAAGCCACGCTGGACACCAACTAAAACTAAAACTGGATTTCAAATGAAAATTGAAAATTAAAAAATAGAAACTAGATAAAAAAAAATGGAAGCTATGACATCACTGGTACAGATGGGGATCCCCCAGGCGCGCTGTAGATGTGTGTTGTTTCCTTCCAGCTCGCCGGCCCTGAGGCGGAGGGACGTCCGGTGTCCCGTTCTGCTGCTCTGGGGAGAGCGGGACGCCTTCCTGGAGCAGGACATGGCAGAGCAGTGCCGCCTCTACATCCGGGGTCACTTCCGCCTTAACATCATCTCCGGGGCCAGCCACTGGCTGCAGCAGGACCAGCCCGACATCGTCAACACGCTCATCTGGACCTTCCTCAAGGAGGGCGAGAGCCGCAAGAACCACAGGCACTCGCTGGCTTAGGCGTCTGCCGCAGGTGCCCGTCAGGAAACGAACAAGACCCACGCAGCGCTGGCAGTGAGGACAATAGTACAGCCTTCCTTTTGACTTACTTAATCATCAGTTAACAAGCACATTTGAAGTCGTCTTAATTTTTTTGTTTTGTTTTCCGTTGCCTCAGTACTTGTAATTGAGCAGTTTACCAATAGGGATAATCTCCCTGTCAATCGTATTGCATGGTGCCTTTGACTGACCAAGGTGGTCCTGACAAAAAAAAAAAAAAAAAACAACAACAACAACAACAACAACAACAACAACAACACCCATTTGCGTGACCGAACCCGTGACAATCACTGTAGGCATCTGCTCCATTTCCCAGAGGGACAGGACTGTGTGGGCTGTGGAGGAATTTCGGGAAACCCCGCGCTACCCTTGTGAGAGGTTCCTGCAGAATCCTGATCCTCTCCCCAAGCTCTGCACTCCCTTGTTAGCTGTGACAGGAGAATCTCATCTCCCCGGCCTTCTTGCTCTCTCTCTATCAGGTGGTGTCTTCTTAATGAATGTTTTTACTGGTACGTTTAATTTTCCTCCTCCTTTCGGTTACCTTGGCCTTCCTGTAATACGAGGTGATGGTTCAGTATTGTAAACATTTTGTATTTATGTCCGAAACACGGCATTTATTATTTCAATGAGAATTGTTTTCATCATTTTAATTTTCTAAACAAATAAACAGCAATGAAAGTGATGTTTTCTTACGATGGTTGTAATATTTTTTGAGCTGGCTAGCATTATACAAGACCACCTCGCCATCAGTCACCAAGGCTGTGCATATGGCTCTTACCTGTAACTTAAAGGGTTAGGTTAGGTGTGCTACTTGGTAACCTATTCAAAGACTAGTAATCTGAGGAGAATTATGAATCTCATATTACAGGGAAAGTGCAGCACTTCCCGAAAAACTCGGTCATCTACATGGAGATTATATTTGCAGGAAAAGGTCGGCTAACCCTGCCTCCCTTGTGAAATCACCAGTATCTATGAGGCCTTTGTGCCGCGACGCTACCTTACCGATAGCTGATTGGCTGGGCTCAGGAATCCAAATCGGAGTGCTAGGCCAGTCACGGACTGACCCTACAAAACGCAGGAGGAAACCCGGCATCTTTGGCCCCTGACGGCAGCCATGACCAGGAAAGCCTAAAGTCTACCTGACATCCTACGCTTTTGTTAGCTTCGACACCGTCAGCGTGCGTGTGCCCGTGTGAGACTCGCATGCACTGCTCAGTATTTGCGCACTGCTCCGTTCCGCAGAGGTGATCCTGAGGTTAACGATTCATTAAAGCAGCAATAAAGCAGAGATGTAATCAGCTGTGCTATAAAAATAACGGACAATCCTGTCCGACAAAGACATTACTGTCCCATCGTCCTCCCGCTTTTACTGGTGAGATTCGCGGAAAATACACTGGATTAATATTATTACTGCATATCTTACTCAATATTTTCATTTACTGGAGTAGCTGTGGTCACCCCACAGAAGCAGGGCCTCTCTAGGGACATCAGATGCCCTCAAAGTGCGAAAACAACCCAAAAGCGCAACTCCTCAGGCTTTACTTATTATGATAAGACAGCAGAGTGCGATGATTCTGGAGGAAGACGACTAGAAGCCTTCAGCTGTATTAACCACCATTTTCTGTGTCTAAATCGAATTATTTTTCCTATTAGTTCTTTTTCTGCAGAGGTGAGGTTGATGTTCCCTTTACATAACTACATACTTCTGAATAGATTTACTGTTTTTCCCCATAAAAAGTCAGTGATGAAAATGGGAGAGACGACAGACAGGCAGCAGAGATTCGAATGTGTGTGAGCGCTTAGCCCGCGAGCGGCCGAACCGTCTCCACAGTTTGTGACGAATACAGAGACGCATTTTCTCCGCATCCTCTGCGTGAGGGACGCCAGCGTCGGAGGCTCAGCTGCCACCCGAGTGAGTGACTTAGTGATTTTTTTTGTGTTTCTTTTTCCAGCCTCCGCGAGAATAAAATGCTCAGCCAAAGCCGTCGGCAGTGTTGGGCTGCGGGTCAGTAAAAGCCTGGCAATTCTGAGTGGGTGTTCAGCAGCCCCTGGGGACCTGGCGGGGCACAGATAAGAGGTGTCAGTCCCAGCCGCCTGCCTCGATTAGATTCGGGCCCGGAATGTGCTGCCACTGCTGTCCCCCTTCCTATGAGCCGCGCTGTGACTCTAAGGCAGAGTGAACAGCTGGCACACAGGATCTGCTGTCAGGATAAATCAGCGCATCTCTCATCGCTGCATCTGCTAGGAAAGGACCGCCTTCATGCATCAGTGCCTCTTTGCTGCATTTTAAGAATTCGCCCACTAAACTTGGAACAGCAGAAAAACAGGTTCGAGGGTCATCAGTCTCACCTAGTCCTTCTGACCTTGCTCTGATCTGCTCCCTCTTCAGGTGAGCCTCTGCGCTGCAGTGCTTTTATTAGCTAGCATCTCCTGTGGTATTCTGGGCAGAAACCTGACACTCAAATTATTTTAAGTAGTCAAGGAATAACACTATGTATAAATTCTTTCAAAACTGTTTATACTGTTTAATGCAGATGCCAATCCCAGCAGCATCCAAAAATAACTGCACCATTTAAACCCTGCAGTATTTTGACTAAACTGTTTTTGTTATTGACATCGCTTTGCTTAAAGACAGAGGGCACTAAAATCTCCAGTAAGGGATGGAAAATATAAAAATTCAGTCTCTTAGATCTTCTCAGACGAACTGCCCAGGATGATTTAATTAAACCATAAACCCCACTCTAATGATTTTGTGTAAAATGACTGCGCTGTTCCTGCTTAGTGGCTCAGCAAGCTATGCTCTCTGCTGCTAGCCCCAGGGCTTCGGGTTCAAGTCCATCTACAGGTCTGAGCACAACACTGCCTCCTGGTGGCCATTCCTACTGAGGGGAATTCAGCAGAGACCCCGCTGGCCTTGAAGAGCTTCACAGTCATGATGGAGGTTGACTTGCACGCCATTAAAAGGCAAGAAGCGTTAATTAATTCTCTGAGTGGGCCAGCCGGGAAGAGGAACTGCCAGGGATGAAAACATTTGGGG